GTAGTTAATTTCAACCTCACTTAACGTGTCCACATTTCCTACGAAATTATTGAACTTGAGTTAGTTATATATGATTAAATAAATATGTAAATTTATCTAATTGAAAAAAATCATAATAAATTCAATACTGAACAAAGTTATATTACCTCGATAAATAAATTCTTCCACATGTTGTGTGGGAAGATTTTCTTTCACCGGCGCGATTTTAGAATTCTCAGGAGGCACCATATCATCATTATCTATCAAGCAATTAACTTTTTTTCGAAGAGCTTTCCTACCCATATCTGATTTTAAAAAATGTATTTATTTAATTTATTTTTGTTTAAATCATTATAAAAAGCAAGCAAGCAACAAAGAAAAAGAAATATTAAAGTAGCAAGAGAGAAGTTAGTAGCTTATATACCTTGGCTTTGACTTGAAAACAAAAGTTAGAAAAACTAATGAATATTTGTAGATAGAGAAGATGACGATTTGAGATTTTTCTTTTTCGTTTTTATTGCTGGAGTCTTTTAGGGTTTAGGGACTTCTAATATAGGAAAAGATGACGATTTTAGTCTTTTGGTGTGGAATGTTTATTGTTATATTTTCTACTTTCAATACAATTCCTTCGTTTTTCTATTTCATAACACATACGGAAGTTTGTGATGTAAGCATTACATTATTATTATTATTATTATTTTAATCTATTTTAGTTTATGACTTATTAATTAGTGAACATAATTTAAAGTTAATACTTAGTTTATATATTAGCAATATAAAATTCTTAATTCTTAATACAATTTAAAAAATCCAATAATCATTAAGTAAATGAATTAATAGAAATTATAAACGTATTGTCCCGATAAATTAAGTCAATTGCTAATTCTTATTACTTGATTGAAAAAAAATCAATGTTTGGTCATCAAAGAATACAAAAGAAAAAACTTCGAATTACAAAGTACAATTTATCGGGATCTAAAAAGTGTCAATTATTATATTTTAATTAATTTGATATAATTATTTAATCAAAATTTATTAAATATAACAATTAACAATAACATATTTAATGTAATTTCACATGTGGGATTTGATAAGGGTAGTGTGTACATAGACCTCACCTTCCCCTTCACCGGAGAGGATTTTTCTAAAGTACCCCCAGTTTAAGTAAAATAATACAAAGCATATTTTAAAAGAAAATATTGTAGAGATACTATATTGAAAATACAAGTATATATGTTTGTAAAACTGAATCTAATTGAAGAACATTTATAATTACGCTAATTAAAATGTATCATTTTGATAGAATAGGTTCGTATCAAATAATAATTTTTGAAATAATTGATCAAGAATAGATCTGGGTATCGAATTGAGCGAGTCCAAATTATATACAATATTAGTCCAAATTAGAACTCAAGTTTTATATATATATATATATAAACACACACACATATATAATATCAAAGCGAGTCACACAAACGGAGTCCAGCCGGTTCAATGGAGCCCGTACTTTGATTGAGTTTTAACCTAGCAAAGGTAAATACAATTGAGGTGAGCCGAGCTCCGCTTCTTAAAAGCATAGGTTAGAAACATGGTTAAAACCTTATTTGATTAATTTAGCGTTTGACCATGAATATTTTTTTTTCCAAATAATTTATTCACTTTATTTCAAATTTCTTTTTGACTATAAAGTTATCAAATATAAATTGAAGTTGTAGTTGAAGTTTTGAAAAATATCTCAAGAGGTGTTTTCACTTTTTTACTTTTCACGTTTTACTTTTATTTTATTTTTACAAATTAATGAGGGTATAAATTACATTTACAAAAAAATTACATCCAAATCCAAAAAAAATAAAAAAATCCAAATACTATCATCAAACACAACTCCAACTTCAGCTTTAGATTCAAAATTTTCAAATAAAGTTAAATATTTTTTTATTTTCATGGACAAAAAACTACATATATTAGTATATGTAACAACTGAAACATATACTCTTTTCGTTTTAATTTTTTTGACCTATTTTTTTACGGTCTATTTAAAAAAAAATACATTCGACATATTATTAATATAATTTAAATTCACAAAATTCAAATGTATTTTAATTTTCATAAATTTAGCATCAAGTTAAATCAAGTCTAATAAATTAAAACGGAAGGATTATAAAATATTGAATACCAAATAGTATATTATGCAAATTTGACATATACATATCAATAGAAAAAGAAAAATATATGTACAGATCCTAAAGCCCTAAATCAGTGAATCCCTAAATTCCCAAACTTGTCTCTCAAATTTCAAGGCTCAACCTCATTCTCGTTTGCTCCTACATCGTCGACATCAAGAGTAAGTTATTCTTCTTTTACTATGTTCAGAGCTTACATACTATAACAACTTCTCTAGCTTTCAGTTCCCTTATTTCGTATGTTTGGGAGCCATCGTCTATTGGAAATAGTCTGTAGTAAGTAGTAAGTAGTAAGTAGAGGTAAGGTCTGCATACATTCTAGCATCTTCAAATTCCACTTATGAGATTACACTAGGTATGTTATCCAACTTAATTTAATTCGACTGCCTTTAAGCCATCAAACAGATATTGTGTAAGCTTTTGTATTTGGACAAATTGTTATAGTGTGTAAGCTTTTGTATTTGATCAAGTTTACTGTACTATTTGTATGGGTGGAAAATTATAATAAAAGGGGGGGAAACTTTTGTTCTTGATTCTCTTTGAATTTTTTTTTTGCTTAAAAGACGGAAGGTGTAG